TAGCTCTACTATCATCTTTCTTATGCTCAAACGGCCATGGATTTGGCCAGTGCCGGCCCCTCAACAGTGGCTTCTGTGGCCCTTTGCCTATCCCTGGACACGTTTGGGGGGCATTCCCTTACTTTGTGGTACAATTCCCAGGCTGGCTTCCAGCCCCCGCCGGCGTCTGGATCCAGCCATTCTCCTAGGGTCGGTGAGTGTACTCACTGCTCCTTGGCCCCCTGGTGGCACACGGTCCTGCGGAGAGCCCTGGTGCTACCCCAGGGCTTCCTCCCCTGTCTCCCTTCACCATAGAGCCGTTAAGGTGTTGCTGGGAAGGGCCCACAGAGGGGGCTCAGGACAGGAGTTTCTAACATGGATGAGGCCCCCCATCTGTCACTGCAGGGACACCAGGGCCCCTCCAGGGCTGCGCTGTGGATATGGCAGGAGAGTGTAGAGACATCCATTGCTCAGGTAGGTCATGGGTCTAATCACAGTCGGCGACCATGAGTTTCTGGTCTTACTTCTTTAGAAAAATCGACTACGGAAAGTTGGTAAACAATGCAAACTGTGCCGATGGAGAGGAGGCGCTAGCCAGATGTCTGCGGGTCAGGTCATCCCGTAGGAGAGTCCTTCCGCCTGTCCCCAGATGTATCCAAGCATCGACTCCACATGACACACAAAGATTTCGGTTTTTTCCATTGGCTGGGCATTTTTCTCTCACCTGTATTGGTCTGCTAGGGCTGTCATGACAAATGACCACAAATTGGGCAGTGTAAAACAACAGACAGTTACTCTCTCACAGTCAGGAGGCTGAGGGACCACCCGTCCCAGCTCTACCCTAGCTCACGGTGGTATCGGCCATTTCTGGAGTCCCTTGGCTTGCAGAAGTGCCACACTGATCTCTGCCCCCACGTACACACAGTGTCTTCCTCATGTGCGTGTCTGTGTCCCAATCTCCCATTGGTAAGGGCAGTCATGACCTCATTTTAACTTAATCACCTCTTTAAAGACCCCATCTCCAAAAAGGGTCATATTCTGAGGTGCTGGGGGCTAGGATCTCAACATGTTATTCATTCCATAACACCACTAAACCTCAGACAGTGAGACACCAGGACTGTCCCATACCCTGCACACACTTGTTTGTCCCTTGCGTATTTACAAGGACACCTCTGGGCGGATTCCCAGCTGGGTGACTTGTCTCGGTGGCTGCTGACACTGGGTCCCCAGTAGTACATATCCCACATCCTTGCCAGGAATATGACCACCACGTGTCTGCCCATGGCAACCATGAACTTGTTCTGGTTTGTTCCTGGCAGTAAGTGAGGTGAAACCACTTGCATGCACTCTACTGTGTTTACTTCCTTTTCTCTGAAGCACCTGTTCACTGTCTAGTTCACCGTTTTTCTTACAGATACATAACAGTATTTTTATACACACAGAAACACACGCAGGACCTCTGGTGAGCATGCACATGGAGGGGCCTCAGGCCTTCTTCAGGACGCGGTTTGTGTGCAGGGGAAGGAAGAAGGAAAAGGGCCCCTGAAATCCGGCTTGTGGAGTAGAGGTAGGCAGAGGGGAGGCCCAAGCACCAGAGGGGTTTTGGCCGGGCGCCGAACTCCACAGTGTGTCCAAGCTAGCCGCCAGGCTCTCAGAGTGGCCTGTGCCGAGGAGTCCTGACCCGGGTGGGGTCCGGGAAGGAGCCGTCAGGCTGGGGTTCCAGAGGAGACCGCAACCTGGGGCGAGGAGGCAAATGGGCCAGGCAGATCCCGCTCTCGGCCACTGGGTGACGCCAGGCCTCCGTGGGCTCCTCCCTTGGGGTGCCCCCTGAAGCGGAGTGGGGGAGGTGCAGCGGGTCATCCTACGGGGGACTGGCAGGCACACACCTGTGGGGTAGCAAGCTCCCCGACCTCCCCTGGCCTGCTGCTGAGGGCGGGGTGGGCGGATCCTGTGTGTCAGGAGCCCATGGCTCCAAATCCCCTCCTGGTGCTCCCTCTTAAAGGTTAAGAGGGGAAACAAAGCTGCCCTGAGCCAACGTGGGAGGGGCAGTGCTGAGGGGTCAGCTGGGCAGACGCCTGAGCCAGGCCTGTTACCCAAGGGCACGTCTGGAATGTGGGCCCCACCCTGGGGAGGGGGAGCTCTGCCTGACAGAGCTCCCTTAGTGGGAGGGGGCACCCCTTCCAAGAGGGCTTATCACTCTTGTAATGCCCTGGTAGGGAGATGGGGAAACTGAGGCTGGGGCCGGGCTGTTCATTTCTCCTATCCACGCCCCAGCTTTCTGAGCTGGGGGCCCCTACAGACCACAGGGTATTCATTGCAGGGAGGGCAGTGGGGTTCATGGTGGGGGTGATCTGATGGCAGAGCTCTCAGGCTGGCGCCCCTCTTTTCCTGCCTCCCAGTCCACTGGTCTTGGCTTCCATTTCACCGTGCCACCCCCCATGGGGTGCTCAGGTCCCCAGTGTACTCAGCCTGCCTCAGATGGCCAGCCCTGTCCACTCAGTTCCCCCCATAGTCACACCCTCATGCTTGGACAGTGAGCCCCACCAGCCTCCCCGCCCGCCCGCTTAGGTGACTCTGCGGGGCGGGCCCTGGGCGGGAGAGGGCGGGAGCCCAGGGAGTAGGGAGCCTTAAAGAGCTCCCCAGATCCCCGCCCTTGCCGCTGCAGCTCCCCACCATGGCCGAGATCACCAAGCTCCAGCTGTTTGTCAAGGTGCCGGGCAGGCTGGGCTGGGGAAGGCCTGGGGAGGGGTGCTCTGCGGGGCTCCACTTTCCAGGGTGGGCTGAGGGGTGGGTCTCCACAGCAGTATCGGCCCCCCTCCCCGTGGTGGGTGGGTTCAGGCAGCCCTACGGAGGAAGAGTCAAGTGGGGTTAACCTGGGGATGACGGGCCAGTGAATCCTCCCCAAAGCGGGTGGAGGTGGCCTTGTCCCAACTCCCAGCCTGGGCTCCTGGACACAGTTCAGCCATCCTGGAGAAAAAGCCCCTCCGGGGGAGGTGACAACCAGGCAACCAGTGGCAGATGCCCAAGTACAGCTTGGGAGCAACACGGGGGGGTGGGGTGTGAGTGGCTGGGCCAGGCAGCTGCATGGGTGCCAGGTCTGTGGGGGCCTGTTTATGGGGCTGCCAGGCCTCAGACCCTTCCCCACCCTCAGGGCTTGGGGCAGCTAGTGTGCTGCCAGCCTCAGTGCCCAGTTGGCGGTGTGAATCACTCAGAAAACAGCTCACTCGGCCCACCCCACCCTTGAAACCAGCCTGCGGGACCTGGAGCCCAGAGCCCTGGCCTCTGCCCAGGGTCTGAAGATAAGGGTCAAGGGCTCAGGCTCCATGCCCCTGTTCCCTCACCCAGTCCCCAGGCTTCCAGTAGCGCTGCGCCCCTCCCCACCTTCCAGGGACCAAGTCAAGGGCTCTCAAGGGCCACTTGCTGAGGCCGTGCCCTCCCTAGCTGGAGCCCTGGCGTCACTCCAGTCTCTTGGTAGGCCAGGTCCCACCCAGCTTGGTGGCAGGATTCCTGGGTCTGCTCCCTGCCCTGACATCCCTCAACTCCACCCACCCTAGGCGAGTGAGGACTGCGAGAGCGTGGGACACGGCCCTTCTTGTCAGAGGCTCTTCATGATCCTGCTGCTCAAGGGCGTGCCCTTCACACTTACGACAGTGGACACGCGCAGGTGAGCCCCTGCCCCTGAAGGACCCCTCCAGGTTCTCTGTCCCCTCGGGCTTGCCACTTCTCCTCCCTCGTGCCCACAGGTCCCCAGATGTGCTGAAGGACTTTGCCCCCGGTTCACAACTGCCCATCTTGCTCTATGATGGCGACGCCAAGACCGACACGCTGCAGATCGAGGAGTTTCTGGAGGAGACGCTGGGACCCCCCGAGTGAGGGCCTGGGCACGGCAGGAGGGGCCCCCAGGACAGAGCCCAGGAAGGGCGCTGCGGCGCCTGCGGCACGACGGTCTGACATGAGTTCCTCCTCCACTCCAGATTCCCCAGCCTGGCGCCCCGCTATAGGGAGTCCACAACCGCGGGCAACGACGTCTTTCACAAGTTCTCCGCGTTCATCAAGAACCCGGTGCCCGAGCAGGATGATGGTGAGAGGGTCGGCAGCCGCCGCGACGGTGGGGGGAGTTGCGTCCCAGACCGGGTCCTCACCGAACCCCTCTGCCCCCACCCCAGCCCTGTACCAGCTGCTGCTGCGCGCCCTCGCCAGGCTGGACAGATACTTGCGCGCGCCCCTGGAGCACGAGTTGGCTCGGGAGCCGCAGCTGCGCGAGTCGCGCCGCCGCTTCCTGGACGGTGACCAGCTCACGCTGGCCGACTGCGGCCTGCTGCCCAAGCTGCACATCGTGGACGTGAGCGCGGGCCGGGCGCGGGAGTGCGGGAGGGCGGGGCGCGCCCTCGAGGAGGTCCTCACCACGCCCGCGCCCCTCGCCCGCAGACGGTGTGCGCGCACTTCCGCCAGGCGCCCATCCCCACGGAACTGCGCGGCGTCCGCCGCTACCTGGACAGCGCGCTGCAGGAGAAGGAATTCAAGTACACATGTCCGCACAGTTCCGAGATCCTGGCGGCCTACCGGCCCGCCGTGCATCCCCGTTAGGGACCTTGCCTCCGCCATCCCCGCTTATTCGTCTGCAGCCCCATAAAGCCACATCTGTGCTCCAGTGACCTTGTCCGCACATCCTAGGGACCAGAGGGCCCACGATTTTTGCCACCCTCAAACCCCCACCATGGGACTCTCAGTTCCATATGACAGCCCAGAATGACAGAAGCAGAGAGCCCAGTGGGCGGGGCGCAGCCCATCCCCCCACTCGGCAGGGATGGCGGGGACTGGATTGGGCTCCCAAACCAGTCAGGCCAGGGCAGGGAGGCAGGATGGCCAAGGAGGGTGGGGAGCAGAGCCCTGCCGGGGCACCTCGGGGCTCAGGGCCAGTGGGCGGGGTGGCCCACATTCCTCAGCCCTGCCCCATCTCCCACAGGACCTACTGTGTGCATCCTGTCGGGTAGGTTCTGGAAGACTGCGGTGTGTGCCCTGTGGGGTGGAACAGAATTCCAGCCTTGGGAAGCCCTGGCAGAGCCTTGCGTGGCCCTCGCAGCTCCTGAGCTGGCCAGGCAGGAGCAGGTGGACGATCAGGGGAGCTTGGCAGCTCTTCTACCAGGGAGCAAGAGCCTGACCCATCTGTTCATGTCCTGTGGTCCCATGCCCAGACCGCAGGCTGAGCAGAATCCCTGATCCCTCTCCCCGAATCAGCCCCCAGGAACCAGAGCCTGGCCATGACCTCTGCCTGAGGAAGCCATTTATTTAATGGGGAAGGGGCTCAAGGTGTGTTTCCACGGGGCAGCAGGATGTTCTGGGGTCTCAGGGGCTGCCCCTCCACTCACAGGCCAACTCCGAGCAAGATCACCTTTTGCTGCACGGTCAGAGGTCATCAAAATCTACACCACTGGCTGGTTTCTTACTGGGAGAGAAGAGGGGGGACATTATGTGTGGAGGGAGGGACAGGGTCCAGGGCTGGATCCTGGGCACAGGAGGGAGGGGCAGTGGGCGGGCACCTCTTGAAGCCAGGGTTGATGAGGGACTCTCCCGGACACCGCCTTCTGACCCCAGGTCCAGGGCCGCCTCTCTGAGGATCTGGGTCTGGGGGAAACAGGATGGGGGAGCACCTGAATCCAGGAGGATCCCAGGGCTACACCCCCTCTCCACATAAGAACCTATCTCTGGAGCCTGAGTCTTGTTCTGGGGGAACTGAGTCACAGAACAACAAGCACAGCCCCAACCCAAGTCCTTACCTGGTAAGAACTGCTGAGGCTCCACCAGCCGAGGGTTCTTCCTGGGGCTGGCAGCTGTCCCCTCTGCAGCTGGGGAAGACAGCCAAGAATGGAGGCACGGGCAGGGGGACCCTAGTGAGGCTGTGGGGTGCCCACCCCCGACCCCACCTGTCAGCCACCGCTCCAAGCTGCATACGCGCTCTGCCAGGCCCAGTGTCAGTGCCTGCAGCCTGGAGGCTGCCTCTGGGCCTGGCACCTTGGAGAGATTCAAGTCCAGTGCCAAGGGCCCCCCTGACAGGGTCAAGGATGCTCCGTCTTCACGCAGGGTGAAAGTCACGGCTTGCTGCTTACAGGCTGCCCTGGGAAAAGAGGGGTGCTGAGTGCTGTGGCCAGACCCACCCACTCCCCACCCACCCTTTTTCCTGGCTCAGGGCTCACCTGAACCTATGGGTGATGTCCTCAGCTGCACTCAGGCCAAAACGGGCTTTCTATAGGGCACAGGGCCTAGTCACCATCTGTCCAAGACCCTGGAACCACTGAGGACACCCCAAACCCGCCCGACTAAGAGCTGCCTGGGACTCCAAGCCAATATTAAGACTTCAGCTACAGAACCAGGGGAAGGGTGCCCAGACCCTTCCCAGGAATCCCTGACCGCCCCCTACGACCCCATAGGTGGTCCACACTGCAGGTATGGGGTGCTGGGGGCTGCCAGGCCCGCCCAGGAGCCCGTTACCCACGAGGGCCGCCAGGCTGTCCGGCGTGAAGCAGGTGCTCCAAAGTTCCGCGGCGTCTGTCACACTGTGGGGGAGGGGCTGTCAGGCAGGACCGCACGCAGAGCTGCCCGCTCCCCGCCACGGACCCCGCCACTCACTAGAGATTGAAGCCGCCTTGGGCCTTGGCCCCAATTCCCTCCTCCTCGCAGTAGCACACAAAGCGCGCGGGCCCCGGGCCCGGCGGCAGCGTGCAAAGAGGCGGCGACAGCGGCGGCGGCTTCGGCACCATGGCATCTCAGCGAGCTGGGGGGCTGGGACGGGACGCCCGCGCCGGCGGGAGGCTGCCGGAACCGGGGGCGGGGCCTACACCGGGGAGCGGACCTGGGGCGGAGCAGAGCGAAGCTGGGCCTCCACGGGGCGGGGCTTAGGGCCGCGGCCCGGCCCGGGAAACGTCCGTCCCGCTCCGGGCCGGCGGAGCCGGGAGGGTTGGGCCTTGGGTGAGGGGTCGGGCCTGCATCGCTGAGGGCGGGGCTATCTGGACGGTGCTTAGTTCGGGGGCGGAGTTTAATTATGGGGTGGGAACGATGCCGGGGTGAGCGGAGCTTAGTGCGCGGGGCGTGGCTCCCGGGATGGCCGCTTCGCGAGCTTGGACCCCGCTCGCCGCAGTGCGCTGCACAGCGCAGCCCCGGCTTCAGCCCTGGTGCCCTGGGAGATGCCCCTTCCAGCCTGATCACAGTGAACTGGCATCTTAGGATGACTGACCAGAGAGCTGGGAGGACTATGGGCAGAGCTGGGCCTGTTGTTAACTCTCTAGTCCTGACTTCCTGTTTAAACTTTGTGGTAACTTCCGGGGGAGGGATTCCTGTTATAGTAGTGAGACCTTGTTGGGCCAGCTCTTTTATTCGTTGTTTTGCACGTGGGTGGCTGCGTGGGCATGTCCTCTCACTGCTGTGGTGGCTTTTTCTTTTTTTCCCGAATAAACGCTCCTTTTGGTAGACTATCTAAAAGGCTATTTTGTCCAGTTAACATTTTGGGGGTGATAAAAGTGAACTGGCATTTTGTGATGCTTGACCCTATAGCTGGGAGGACTGTGGGGCCCCTCGTAACTCTGTAATCCTGACGTTGTTTAACTTTGTTGTAGCTTCCGGGGGCGGGGCCGTAATAAACGGGAATAAGAGTACTTTTTCTCCACGTGGGCGGCAGGTTGGGTCCCCCTGTCGGAGGTGCGCAGTTCCTGCAGTGCGGTGGTGTCGTCGTCCCCCCGGCCCGCTACACACACACACACCACCACCAATGAACCTTTCTCTTGTGGATTATTTGGAGAGTTATTTTCATCAATCAACAGGGGACTACTCGGATCCAGAGATGAACGAACTCTCGCGGCTTCTTAACGGTGAGCAAACCAGCTTTGGGGCCTCACTGAGCTGTTTTTAGCTTGATGCCTTTGCTCCTCGGCTTGGAAGCCTCGGGTAAGTTCTCTCCTGGATCTGAGACAAAAGGCTTTTGCGTCTGGCGCTCTCCAGGCTTTATTTGGGAATTGTTTAAATTTTTTGTTTGTTGCTGTGCGTGAATGCGTTAAAAGGCCTACTTGTTTGTCTAGGTTGTCAGTATTCGTTGTGGCACGGCAGCTTGAATTTTTTGGAAAGTAAGCTGTCCTTTGAGACAAAAACTGGCCTTCGCCTAACATCCTTTGGGAATAGAGCTTATTTCTACTGAAATTGGTCACTTTTAGCCCATGTTAGATCGTGGTGCCTCATTGGAAAGGTTAACTGCAGTGCCACCCAGCTGAGCCGGTAACTGAATCCCCCGAGAGTTGGTTATTTCCTGGAACCGGCTCTAGCCTTCCGTCTCGTTTGCCGTGATCAGACTGTTCCAGAGTATGAGTGGGGCGAGCTGAAGACCTGCAGCTTGCTCGAGTTTGTGAGCTGTTTGGGGCCCAGTATTAAAAATGGGATCCCTGCTGTCTAAGCCTTCTACAACCGTCCCTCCCCCACCAGGGACGCCGGCCGAGTACATGTTTAAAACCCGCGGGGAATCTTTGCGCACATATTTAACTAAATGGACAGATCTGACTGAGAGTAACTTAAAAAAATCAATGGCCGCTTTGGGTAACTTTTGAGGTTGCCAAACTTGATTTTCTTAAAACTCAATTGGGTGACAACAGCTCTGTAATTAAGAAAGACGAATGGAATGCCTATCTTGAGCAGTATATTGAGGCTTCCAAACAAGGCTATGAATCTAAAATTGCCCATTCACAAAATAGAGTCTCAGAGTTAACATGGGCTGCTAAAAATTCAAAAAGAGGCAGAATGGCACCTGAAACCTTGTGCTCTTCCTCTACACCCTGCCTTGCCCTCCTCCAACTGCTCCTTTGTCTCAAGCTCGGCCCCCAGTGGCACCTTCTCTTGAATCTTGTTACCAGTAGTACCTAATTTAAGAGTAAACCCTCTGGAGATCCTATAAACCCCACATCGCCTATGCCTCCTGGACTATAGCTGAGTTACGAGCCATTGTAAAGGAATTCCCTAATGTACCTAAGGATTCTAATAGGTTTGCTAAGGAATTGATATTACTATTCAAGCATATTAACCTGGGTTTTCTGATTTGTACCAGTTGATCGATATGTTGGTTGGTGAAGGCCAAGCTAGACATTGGATGAGGATTGCTGGATGGGAACATCCTGAAAGGGATTTAGAAAAACAAACCTCCATCATTGGGAGGAAGCCAGAGAACTTGCTCCAAAGCTGCATCGAGCAATTCCCGAGGCTTTTCCAAAGCCTGTCGATTGGAGCAAAATTCAGGATTGCTCACAAAAAACTGATGAATCTGTTCATGACGATTATGAAAGATTCCAGGTCGTTTTTAAGGAAAATCCTGGTCTTCCTTTGAATGTTGGCCACACATGGGCAGTTTTTAATTCTTTGTCAGCAGGCTGAATGAAGACCTTTCCCTCCTGGTTAAGAGATCAGGATGGGATGGGGGAAAATGCCTACCCGAGACTTGGTAAATTTGGCAGATGAGCTCGCCAATACCCTAGACCTGGGCCAGCCAGAAGTAAGATTGCTAAGACTTGACTTCCAGCCGTGGCAAGTGAGAGGCCCTGTGGGAAACCAGAGAACTCCAACCTTTTGCCACTACTGCAAGGAGCAAGGACACGGGAAAAGGGATTGCCATAAGTTGAAGTGTACAAGACGCTCTCTGACAACTAACCAGCCTCTTTCAGGTTTTCCTAATTCCCAGTGATGGGGCCCTGAGGAATTACAGGGGCTTTTTCCAGTCCTTCCCCTTAATCATCTTGGAGAAACTTCTCTTCAAATTGGGAGGAAACTTTCTGTTCTTATTGACACCGGTGCTACACTCTCGGTGCTCAACCCCACTGTCATAAACCAGCCCCCGCCTCAGAGTAATGAGACATTTTGCATAGCGGGATTTCAAATAAACCTCAGTAGGTTTACATATCTATTCCTTTTGCCTAGGCCCTTTAAGAGATAAACATTGTTTTCTCCTTAGTTCTTCTGCCCCTGCCCATTTATTAGGCAGAGACTTCTTAGAGAAGTATCATGCTGAAATACCCTTTTCCAGAAAAGGAGAAATAATGTTAGAGTTTGATGGTAACCATCAGAATCACCAATCAGGTGAATCACACGACTTTTCAGCATCTTATTTGTGCTGTCTCTGATGGTACAGTAGCTGAATCTGAAAATACTGATCAATGGTCCCTATTGGACCAACTACCATCTTTATGGGCAAAATCTTCAACTGACATTGGCAGAATTCACAGTGCACCTCCTATCAAGGTTCAAATTGATCCTTCAAAGCCTCTGCACAGAATTAATATCCTATAAGTCAGGAGGCCGCCCGAGGTATAAAGCCCATAATATTGACAGAAGATTACAAAGTTCAGGGTCTTATTCCTTGCACTAGTCCTTGTAATACTTCTCTTCTACCCGTGAGAAAGCCAAAGGGACGAGGGTGGAGGTTTGTCCAGGACCTCCGAGCAATAAACCACATTGTTGTCCCTCGTCACCCTGTCGTTCCTGTCCCCCATACCCTGCTGGCATCCATCCCAACTGGAAGCAAATTCTTTACAGTCACTGATCTATGCAGTGCATTTCTTTAGCATCCCGGCTGATGAAGCTAGCCAGTACCTTTTGCTTTCACTTGGGAAGGAAAGCCATTTACCTGGACAGTAATGCCTCAGGGATTCACTGACAGCCCTTCTTTCTCACAGACCCTGAAGACCGATGTAGATGACGTAGTTTTCCCCAAAGGTTCCACTTCATTACAATATGTGGATGGCTGACTTCTTTGTTCTTCTGAGATTTCTTCACAGGATGATAGCATCCGTTTGCTGACACTCTTGGCCTTAAAGGGACATAAAGTCTCTAAAGAAAAGCTACAATTTGCCCAATTGTTCAGGTTCGGTACTTGGGACATCTGATATCGGAACAAGGTCTGCACCTGGACTCAGCCAGTCTCCATGGCGTCCTCTTAAGTTTTCCAAGGTCCAAGACTAGGCACCATTTGTGAGGTTTTCTTGGGCTAGTTGACTACTGCCGGAATTGGATTCCAAGTCTTTCTCTTACGGCGAAACCTTCTGTATGTCCTATTAAAGAGTAACAGTCCTGACCCAATTTCAAGGGAAGAATGGGGTGACGTGGCCTTTAAGACTTTGAAGGAGAGTTTCATGAACCCACCCTCTCTTGGGCATCCTAACTACCAGGTTCCCTTTCTTCCTTTTTGTGCATGAAAAGGAAGGACATGCCCTTGGGGTGCTCGCCCAGAAACATGGGGATCGTTATAAACCCCCAGGATACTATAACCAACAACTGGACCCAGTGGCTCAGGGACATCCTCCTTGCCTCAGAGCTGTTGCTGCCACTGCCGTCCTGGTTAAAGCCACAGAGAAGATGGTTGTGGGATCCCCTCTAACCATCTTTGTGCCTCATGCGGTAGAAGCTCTCCTGAATGCTCGTCAGACTCAGCATCTTTCGGTCAGCCGTCTTACTTCCTATGAAATCCTTCTGCTAACTGCTTCCCCTATAACCCTTTCACGTTGTAATAACCTTAATCCAGCCACTTTCCTTCCTTCTGGGACTGAGGAAGCCCCTTATGACTGTCTGACACTGACAGCCTCCTGGCGATTTGCAGAAAACTCTAGGTAAAGCTGATTTCTCATGGTTTACTGATGGTTCGTACTTAAAGTCAAAAATGGTGAGTACTGTCCTGGTTATGCTGTTGTGACTCCTTCTGAAGTCATTAAGGCAGCACCTTTGCCACTGGCCACTTCAGCACAGCAGGCTCAACTGTATGCCCTCACCTGAGCTTGCAAAGGGTAAAGCTGTCAACATTTATACCGACAGCAGATATGCCTTTGGGGTAGCCCATGACTTTGGAATGTTATGGAAATAACGTGGTTTCCTTACCTCCAATGGAGATCAGGTTAAGAACGGTCCATATGCACAGAGAATATTG